GAGGCCCCCGAGCCAAAAAGTTTGCCCACCCCTGGACTAGTCCATAATCTGTTGACTTTGTGCCTCAGTCTGGACTACAACTCCCAGACTCCCAGTTGTTAGCCTGATGCTTTAACCACTTTAACAGTTCTTTGGAATCTACTTTAACAGTTCTGTTATTATCTACTAATAATAATTTGAATTATGAAGATGGGAATTATATATCATTTAGCACCATTTTGACTGGAATTACTTACGTCTTCAAAAATAAACATAAAATTTAGTGTTATTCTTTTATCTTCTAAAACAAAGAAAAGAAACAAAACAAAACAGCCATACATCATAGCAATATTGGCAATACCTGGGTTGCGTCAACAGCCAAGTGATTATTTTAATAAAATATAAAACTAAAGTAATCCCAACTTCCAGAAATTCAGCTTGCATGTCTAAATATTTAGACAAAGACATAAACATAGTGTAACTGTATGACTGTAAATTACTGTTACTTACTGTGAATGTTTTTGGAAATGTAAAAGATAATTAAGCTGAATTCTAACACTATGTTAAGTCATTATTAAAATATAATTTGTCCAGATGACTAATTTAACAATTCACCATTTCCAATAAATCATAAACTAGAATCAGAATTTATGGTGTAAAAAAAGTATATACTATGACTCAGTATGACATTACAATGAAAATTAATTTTTGGTGTGTTTCACAATTTTTCATGTCACTAAGCTTACAATTCTGGGTATGCTATAGCAAAATGAGAAAAATATATTTTAAAAATCCAATAAAACACATAACAAATCATTAAATGATTAATAATTAATAAATGGTGACTAATAAATAATAAGCCCTCATAGCCTCATTATGGGCCAAAATCAGCTGAAATTAAACAATCTTCAGGGCATTTCTAAATGTTGAAAAGGGTTAGGGTTAGGCCCGAGCAACCTTATTATACGTCCAGGGGCAGTGCAAGTAGTCCTCAACTTATGATGACTGCTTAGTGACCATGCAAACCCCATCCAAAGATACTTATTACCCAGTTCCAAAGTTCTGACTGCTCCACCCCCTGCAGTCACATGACTGCATTTTGGGCATTCATTTACAGCCATTTGCAGCATTCCACAGTCATGTGACCACAATTTATGATTTTTTGCTAAAAACTGATATTTATTTGGTTTTTTTTAGCAAAAATGCCCCGTAGGGGACATTTCATTGTACCTCCTGCAGAGGAGAGGTCTTCTTTTAATTACCATTTTAAGTAGATGGAGCAAAACCATGTTTAGGAAATTGTTTCTTCATAGATCCTTGTCATATACATTTTACAGGGCCTCATAATAAGAAGCACTTTCCACTGAGCCTTGAAACTTATCAGCAGCTAGTACAATGGCTTTATAATGCATGCACTTCTGCTGTCATGGGTTTCTCCAGTAAAGAGGCTAACCATTTCATTTTACACCAAGTGTAGCTCCAAAGTTGTCTTCAAAGGCAGTCCCATGAAGAATGCATTACAGTAGTCCAGTCACATGGTGATCAGTGCAAGAGTCATTGTTTCGAAGCTTCCTAGTCCAGGTAGAGCTGTAACTGGTACATTAGATGCAGCTAGGCAAAAGCCCACCTGGCTGTGACTAACATTCTTGGGTGCTTATTAATGTACAATCTTAGCAAGATTAACCTGATCTTACTTCTCCTCATCTAACGTCTTTCAGACTCCAGACACCAATTCTAGTTTTCCACAGCATCTCCAGCTTAGGCCAAGGTATCGATGTAAAGTTGAGTGTCATCACTCAACATACTGATGAGACATATTCCAAATAGATACATGATGTTTCACAGTAGTTTCACAGAGTTGACGAATGGCATGGGAGGAAAGACCAAGCTCTGCCACATCCCACTTTGTGGCAACCAAGTGTTTGAGTACTCATCACCCAAAACTACAGATGTACTTCCTCTCCTATCTGAAACTACTCACTCAGGCAGGAGAGGAACCACCATAAAACTGCCTCCCTTCCAATTCTTGAAGGCAGTTGATAGTAACAATGGCACTAACAGTCTAATAGGACCAGGAGAGTCACATTCATTCATTCCAGGTCCCAATGACAGTTATCAGGATGCCTAAACCCTGCCTGAAAGAATCAAGACAATCTATTTCTTCTGGGATTCTCTGTAGCTGATTTCCCATCACCTTCTCAACAATCTTCCTCAAAACAAAAGGTTGGATAAATACAGTTGGATTGAGTGATGGCTTCTTCAAGAGAGTATTAAGCACTACTTCTTGCAGAGCATATCACATCCATCAGTAAAGTACACCAAAGTACAATTAGGTTTGCCTAATTACCAACTGCAGCCAAAGACCACAGATGGCTGACAATTCAGCCATCAAGATTAAGGGTAGAGGCAACTGGTTTAGAGCAAGAAATATGCTCTATCATCCCCATTCTGTTTAACAGCCTATTCAGTAACTTTCACCATATTTTTTCTCTCCCAACAGAATCCCAATATGAGATCCCACTGTAACAATCTTAGCATCCGACATTGACTTTTCATCCCCCGTTCCCTTTATGGCTCTGACATGGTTCACATGGTTGCTCTGCATCAGGGACTTCTGCAGGTCAAGCCTAGTTCTCATACCCAGCTCACTGCAATCCAAAAAAAGTCAGAAACACAATCTTCCAATCAAATAAAGCTTTTCGTATTACAAATCCCTCCCTTGAAATGTGTAAATACTCATTAACTTTTCAACCCCACCACAATCTTACGATTCTGAAGGTACTGTGTATTTTACCAGTCAAGACTGAGTACAAATCTTACTTGCTGCCTCTTCTCTCATTTATAATTCTTTCGATATACTTTGTCCATCCTAAAGACCCCTTCAGTTCCTCCAATCTCTCCACATCCAATACACTTTCTACAATTTTATCTAAATCTGTCTCCACTTTCCTTCTCTTACATCCCTGTAGCTTCTCACTATTGTTTCAGGCAAATCTTGGCTAAACTTCGCTTAAAACAAATCATACTGGCTAAAATCTCTAACCTATAGCTTATAAAAGGGCAAGAAAAAAAAACTATTGTTTAAACTCTATACACAATGTGAAAGAAAAGTAAACATGAAAAAGGATGACATTTATATAAAATTTGACAAATTTATGTATATATCCTTGTATACATTTAAATATAGAGATGTATACCTCAGACTGGTCTTCCTCAATTAATAAAAGTTTGCAACTTTAATACATGTCTAAACAGATTCTTCAACTCATAACATTTTCTAAACCAGTTAAATGTTATAGAATTTTACTGTATTATCTCCTTAAGTATGAAATATAACATTCTAATTTGAGACAAAGGGACAATGAAGGCCCAGAATCAATACTCAAAATAACTATACATGTAACCTTAATACAAAAACAGCTGCAAAAGGTGAACCTACAAAACTTGCTAAATGGAAAGACCTGCCAAATTATGAATAGCAGCAAGACAAAGCAACAAATACAGCTTCTGAAGTCAAGTATGCCAATCATTTTCAACTCCCAAGTTTCCAATTATGCTGTATTCTGAACCAGCAAGCTAATTTATGAATAGCAGCAAGCCATCATGACAAATACATTTCAAATCCTCTGTTTTAGACCCACATAATACAATTTCTAAAATCAATGCCAATCACCTCCAACCCCTATTGTTTTTCAATTGAAACAGCCTTCATAGGCATCAGTTTATTCATAAAGTAGCCCAGTGTAGCTCATGGGAATTCAATAATTTTAAAACAGTATCATGTACTGAATAGATGCAAAAATAATCCTGCATATATAT